GCCTTTACACCAGGTGACGACACATATAACTATACGAAGTCACAGATCAGAAGCCAATACATAAAGACTATCACAGGATTTCGAAGTGCTGGTTTGCAGGGGTTTGACTAATTTCAGTTCTAACCACGAACTAAATTCAGTTAGAGAAAGTGCTGGCTTCGTAACGTGAAGGTTCCTGGATTTGATCCCTGAGGGTGTCATGGGTGCTTGCTGCTAAAAACTCCCAAACCAGGACGAAACAGTCGTTCGGTGACCCTTGACTTTCAGTGGTTCTCTATAGCCGAAATCAATTAATAATCGGTTGTTATTAATAGCTGCGTAAATGGAATTAAAACATCAGAACAGTTTCTAACTCCTCTTATCCATAGTTGAATTCTTTCAAATTTACAATAACCTGTGATTTTCTCTAGGGAGAATGCATTCACTTTTCCCCACCCAAAGAAGTCGCGACAATTAAAGAAAGCCTTTATAATGTGAAATTTCTATTCTGTAGTTTCATTAGATTAGAAATATCGTCCCTAGTTAAAGTATTTTCTTCTGTTAGTTTAGTAATCATTACCTTGCTTGGTACCTTTGTAAAAAATAAGTAACATTTGAAAATACTCGCTTTGTAGATTCGAATCTGTCTTAGAAATAATGAGGAAGATTTGTAGCTCAGGTGAATGATATTAGTGTAGTTGCGTTCTGTGAGCTGGATGATTCAACTGAAAAGCTTTCATTGTCTTTCTAAACAACATCTTTAGCGCGTACCTCAGTTTGAAGCTCTGCAACTAGACTATTCAGCTCAGCGAACACAACTACACAAATAATTCTAACACTAAATTCTCCATGAATGAAATGACTGTTTCTTTACTGACTACGAATTCATCAAAAGCTGAGTGAACAACAAAAATATCTACAATGACACCCCTAGTTTGAAGTACACTTCAACAGTTTTTTTTAAATCCAAGTCAATGAATGCATTCCAAAACTTTATTTACTTTCTAAGAATAGATGTGACACTATTATCACGAAATATAAAGTCTACTGCTATGAAACAAACCTCGAATGTATTGTATTTTCATGGTGCCATTGGATTTGACTTTTGGGTTATTTTTTAGCTCATTCAGACAGAAACTGATATCAGTGTTGTTAGATAGATTGAATCACTTCAGTATTTAACCGTACAGGACTATACAAAATATAAAGCTAAAGAGAAATGGATTTATCCAACAATTCCAGTTTATGAAGGGTGGAATAAGTGACCTACATTCTCTTACATAATACCATTAAAAAACATAAATCACAGAGAACAACTCATAGAGAAGTATCTAATGGCTATATAGTCCGTTCATTATATACATCTGTATATTAGTGTGTCGGTGGTACGGTGGTAGAGTGCTCATCAACCACGCACATGGTCAGGGTTCGATTCCAGGCCAACCCATTCCTAAACCTCACATAGTCGGTAGTAAGCCCGTAAAAGAGGGAAACTTGAGTGTGAGGCCATCAGCCCTAACCCGTGAAAAAAAACAACACCAGAGCTCAAAATTAGAACCCTGTGTTCTACTCTGAATATATATATATATATATATAGGCTTAGAAATGAACGTAAATGGGATTTAAAATATCACAATGCATCTACTCAGTATAAATGAACTTAATGCTCTTTAAATATGCCTTAGAAGGTCTTTACGACTATCACATGTAATGTTGTACATGATAAAATTTACAATTATGACATTCAGTGTAGATTTTGTCACGAGCCGACATCACTTAGAGAATCATTTAAAACTAACGAGCACTAGACAGCTGTTTGGTTCTAGTTTAAGACTCTTCAATAGTAAATACCGGTAAACCCACCAACAAACGAACCAGTGGCTGAATGGTCAATGGGCTAACCTCATATCCTGAAGGCTCTAGGTTCGTCCCCCCTCCGGATGAAGAGTCTTAAAACAGGACGAAACAGATGTACAGTGCTTCTTGGTCTTCTTGATTATCTCACTTGATGTTAGTTCATGACGAAATCTGCATTAAAGTTAAAACAAATCCCTACGAAACCAAAAATCTCAAATGTTTGTTTATTTCAAATAAATGATTTAGCTATGCAATTCTACTTTCACTGGCATTAAATAAGAAAATATCCCATAGGAAATGAAAGATACTCACCTTTTTCATGATTATTATTTTCCAGTATTGTAGAATTATGTATTGTTGCATGGTTAGACTTGTTTCGACTTGTTTCCATGTCTTCACCAAGTAAAGTGGATACATTGAAGTTAGACGTATGATTAAAATATCCTCCTCTTTCATTGTCCTGCTTCATTATTTTATTACAAATCATCTTTATTTGAAATCTGATATCATTTGCTACCTCTTTATACAATAATAATCATAATAACGTTTATACTCAATAAAACCACAGAGTAAATATTTAAATGGTTATAAGATATTCCCCCTTATTTATATAAGTAATTCAATTGGTCACAAATAAGGTAGAGAGAGAGAATTTCTTTCCTTCATACCTACTCAACTATGGAATGAGTCAATCACCAATACGCTTTAGAACACTTACGGCCATATAACAAATGGATATAATTTTTCTCTTATCTGATTGGTTGATTTGGCCGTTATTCATACCCTGTGTTAAATGGGATGAACACAGACAAATCACACTAATTTAAATAATTTGTCCTGTAAATAATTAAAGAATGAAATGTTATTTGCGCATTATGCATATCAATGTATGTGTGTACTATCGAAATGAGCTAGTGCTTGCCTGTACTGGGTATACTTAGAGGAGGCTGTAAATACCAGTCGCACTACAACAATTTCACCCTAATGTCACTTTGTGATGGAATATAGTTCAAAACCAGTCAAATTCCCACAAATTAAACATTTAGAGGCGAGTAACAAAAGACCGTGAACCTAGGGTTTGTGCTTGTTGGCACTCGTCAGCAAAGCGTATCTGCAATTTTGAAGAAACTGATATTCCCAAGGAGATTAGGACCTAAATTCCTTAGTGTCGAGTTAATGTGTCTAATAGTTCAACATTAAGTAAGTCGGGAGCCCAAACAGCTTGTTAGTAACATTTGTCACTGGGTGACGTAGGTTAAAATCTCCCAGGGGATATTAACTTCCTTAAGGTTCCAGATATACCTTAATGACAAGCGCCAACAAACATGTGGTTTATTCACAGGTCTTCCTATCGATTACCTCCAAATGCCCAGCACCATGAAGACGTTGAACTCTACGGTGAACACCCAGCTTAGTGATCACATTGTAAACTTGACTGGAGGAACTCAGTCAAGACCAACACAAAGGGCTAGAAAAATGACATTGGTTATTCCCTATTGTAAACTACAAATACCTTCAATATAAATTTCAAGAGAAACTTATCAGTTTCTGTCTGAAGGAATCGAATTAGTCATTAGTGTTATCATCCTTTCATCTTCTCTTCCCAGCAGTAATGTTGGCACTAAAATATTTTAAAAGAGAGGGGGAGGGAAGAATTAGAATTGAGACGAACAAGTCATTTCATTTTACTTGCTTAGTCAGTCTCTTGTGACGACAGTGGTTGTTTACTTATTATAAAGCTTTCGAATTCTTTTTGCATTCATTATACTGTTTGTGACTGGCAGTATTTCTTTCTTCCCACAGTAACGGAATGGATTTCTATTATTTAAGTAGCTTGTGTACACAATGAATTTTGCTTTTAATTACCGCTTATTTTTTGGACAAATTTACTCATTAGTGGTGTTGTTATTCCAGTTGTCATTTGGATTAGATGAATATTCTAACAAATATATTTGCAGTCTCACAGTTTTGCGTATTTTCGATAGCACCACCATGTGAGCAATATAAAAGCCAAGCTCATGATGAAATCCTGTAACCAATCAACCAAATCCCTACAAACTAATACTTGAATATCAATGAGATGCTCACTGGCGACTGGCCCTATTCAGGTAGGTAGTTACCTGGGGTTCCAGTGAGAAGTCGTGACCAGTAGGGTGCAGCAATTCGCGTGTGAAGACAAATACTCGTCGAAGACATTGGCTAGCGGTTGCGCTATATCATGAATTGGCAGAAGTTAGAATTCATGGGCCATTGGATCAGGTCCCACTGGCTTAATGGTATGTGAGCTCGTCTTGTAACCAGAAGGTCCTGGGTTTGAACCCCGGAGGGTGCGTATTGATGAAGAGTCCCAAACTAGGACGAAACAACTATCCAGTACTGCTAGGTTTTCCAATGGTTCTCTAACCAATGTCACCTCATGATAAAATCCTGTAACCAAGTATAAAGTCTTAGATAGAATGAGAAACTCAGTCAAAGAAACTGTAAAATAGGCATTACTTGAAGCGCTTGTAACTTGTCTTAGGCATGGCTACTCACTGTCTACATCAGCATGTTATGTTAGACAAAATTCAAAGGTGATCCGAATAAGATGTGAAACCAATCCATGAAATTATTGTTTGTTGGTCACAGCTGGATCGAAAAGTGTTCATTGTCTGCAGAATTGGGGGTAATAGTGAAGATAAACTCATACTTTACGTGATTATTTCTCTGTTTATCGTATCTTTCCTTATGTTGCCTTATACCTTTGTTGCATTGTTTTCAGTTCCTTTTATTCCCATTCACTGTTGATATCTTCATAAACCGACCTAGGAAATCCATAAGTATACTACACCTACTTTATTTTGGTTTGAGACTATTCTCTGTTATACGACAACCTATATCAGTTAAATTCACACGACACATCATCTGAATATCAATCGACTACCCACTAGTAACCGTCTTTGAGGTAGACGACTTCGTAAGGTTCTAAAGAGCCATCATGAATCTGATTGTCTGCCTTATCGGATATGAGGACAGATACTGATGAAGGCGACGCTACATTACAATTTGAAAAAAGTTAGGATTTATGAGATGTTGGATTCCAGTCCATCATCTAAATATCAACATGCTCTCTCCATAAACTGGTGGTTGTAAATCTGGGGGGCGGTGGTGGTGTTATGGACTGCTGAACACTTGCAAACTACTGCTGGACATCTATTCATCAGCTATTGGTTCTGTAATTTGATATTGGATCATGACAAAACCGACTTTGGAAAATTAGTCCTGTTTCTGTGCGAAACACTAGATACTAGTTCAAGTCACAATATGACCTAATTGTTTCTTAATAAACCAATGGTGCACTAAGAGTAATTATGCTTACATTTATCTCTGAATTATGTAAATTGAAAGATCAATTACCAGTCGGTGACCTAACTCAAAATGCGTTTTAAAACATCAATTTCGATTCTAAATATTTAGTTCTCTTCATTAATGACATAACACTTAGAAGACTTGATTTATGTAAGTGTCGTTTTGCAGGGATTTGATTGGTTTCAGGATTTCACCATGATCTGACATCTGTTGAGGACCATTGGAAAACCTGAGAGTATTGGGCAGCTGTTTCGTCCTGGTTTGGGACTCTTCATTAGTACGCACCCACCACCAGGGGTCGAACCCAGGACGTTCTGGTTACTAGGCGAGCCCGTAGACCATTAATCCACTTGGACCCGACCCAATGGATCATGAATCCCAACTTCTGCCAATTCATGATATGGCGCGACCACTAGCGAATGTCATCGGTGAGTATTTGTCCTCACACCCGACCCGTTGTACCCCACTGATCACGACTTACATACAAGTCACTGGAATTTATATGAAAAATAATTAATCAAATTAAAAGGCTGCATTATAGTCTAAAGTAATACTGAAGATCAATAAAGCAAAACAAGGTGGAGGGAAGTTTGCAGTACACTTATTTTTGGTTTCAAAACAAAGTTTAGCAAAGAAGGTTTAATGGGATGGCAAATCGTCTCAATAGACATATAAAGCTGGCTAAGGTTTCCACAAACTTAAGAACACATTACCAACAAGTCTCATAGATGGAGTTTAGAAGACATGTGCTCCCTTAAACGACCTAGTACGACCAAGGGTGAGTAGACTATGATCTTCCTCCCTAAATGGTCTCATGTGTGCACTCCTTCATACCCTTCAGCAGATAAGTCTTATCCACTGCCTTCATACTATATGGGTGTTCCTCACATAAGTAAAATGGCAAATATAAACGTCTGGCATTTACAGCTGGATCGATCGATCAGGGGGCGGGAACCCTGATTCCAAACCTATGGTATAAATAAGCTCCAATAACCGAGAGAATAGAATGACGTATGGACCTGTTTTTGGTCATGCGAACGTAGCTTTCGACTCTGCTTCATTGTCTTGTGGATCAGACTTCAAGTTTAAGGGTCGGGGGGGGGGGTAGGAGCTGTGGCTCTTTAAAACAAACACCTGCTCCCGTCTGGGTGTCCAGGTAGTATCCCCGCCTTCTCACAAACTATAGGATTTTATTTGATGCATTCCTTGGTGGGTATAATATATCAATTTTATTTTAATGAACAATAATAGTTAAATGACGCGTAATCATTTATCTTATATTCTGTTAATTTAATTTCTATAATTCTAGTCTTTATTTGAATATATATTAACTCAGGCTTCAATCTACTCTCATACATACTCACATCAACATTGTGTATTGATGATACAGAATGGATTTTCATTTTGAGAGGGGACAGGTCTAGAGTGTTTGGATTTGAATTACATTCATATTGTTTATTTTTATTTGATAATGAATAAAGTGCACTGATAAGTGCCTGCTGAGATTATCTACTCCAGTAGGATAATGTTTACCATTATAACATTATTATTACTATTACTATTATTATTATTGTTATTATTATTATGAGTAATAACAGTGATGATAATAGTAATAATAAGTTATAAGGGTAAGACATCTGCACCTCGATAACAGAAATCACTTTATAGTTAGAAGTGTTATACATGAGTATTTTATTTGTCTGTCTGTTTGCTTGGGGATGTGTGTGAGGTGTGTGTGTGTCGTGGATCGATGTATGACAGTGCATAATGAACACTCACTTATCTTTCCCTCTTTAATTAATTTCATTTTTCAAAATAATCTCAAAATATTTAACCACTTGAGCTCAGTTGTTGTTCTTGTAATGATTACACTGTTATTAATCTTGAAGTGATTACGTAATATTTTGAGTAGTGAAGACAAGGCGCAATAATGCGTTAATTGATGAGTGACTCATATACACATATATGATGTGTTTATAACACACTAAGTATTCTATTTGATTTATTTCTCCCTTAAATTGTCTTTAGTGAACGGAGAAAATATCCGTCTGTTTTAAGCCGCTTTTGATAAGAATAAAGATTAAAGACTGTATGATGTAATAGTGTCAAACCATGTTGATC